TTCCTCCTCCATTAGATTCCTCAAGTAAATTGTTACCGAACCTCAGAGCCTACGCTTACAGCAACCTCATGGCAACAGACTTACAGTATAACAACCACATAAGACAACACATGGGGCCTTGAAGGCCAGTAAAACAGAAATGCTAGATCAGAACCTAATTTTTTCAGTCCAGCAAGGCGTCCAGATGGAGCTCTTAATCTCCAATGAGTACCATTATGGTTCTATCACAGAGCATCCAGGCACAGTGTCATCCTTTAGTTATCATTTCATGCTTATCTCCCTTTTGTACGCAGGTAATCCTCACTTGGCAACTGCCTCATTTAGCGACTGTTTGCGGTTATGATGGTGATGAAAAAGTAACTTTACGACCAATCCTCACATTTACAACCTTTGCAGGTCTGTAAATCATTCCCACATACCATTACAAATACAAACACTGATATAAAGATTTGGAGCTGGCACTCACTGCAGCCAATGACAGATTTCCCACACTGTGTTGTACCATAAACTACAATGGTTGAGTTCATACATGGTAAGTCCAAACTACCACATCATGGCCTAATACCATATATGCCATTATCTAGCTTAAAATTCAATATTCCAATACCTGAAGGGCTGCCCCAGGGAAGAGGGAGTCAATTGATTGTCCATAGCACCTGAGGAAAGGTCTAGAACCAGAAGGTGAAACCTTTACATGGGGAGATATAAACTTGAAATAAGGAGGAATTTCCCAATCATGTGTAATAGTATGCGGGAATGACCTATGACCTTAGGAGATGGGGGGAAGAGATGCTGCTTAGGGAATGATCAGATAAGGGGGGCATAGCCCGCAGCTGCATAACGGACAGAGAAAGAAACTGAGAAAGGATCCTCCCTAACCTATCAGGCTGTAAAAAGAGACGGCAGGAGATTTGTACTTTCAGACTTGCAAGATTCTGTTAATGCAGCCTTACAATAAAGTAGAATGAGCTCATCTGGTCGCATTTTCTGTCTGGTCTACCTGGGAAGGCTGACACCATGAGAGCCATTAAGCAGTGGGAAAGCCTGCCTCTTGTAGTTATCAGTGCTCCATCACCGAAGGTTTTCAAGCCAAAGTATGGAGTGAGATGAGGACACCTATCGCGGGTAGGGAGCTAGACTGGAAGATCTCCAAGGTCCCTTCTGGCCCTGTGATTCTGTGAAAATATGGAAATGAGCTCCATGCACCTACCCTCTAGCTGAGTCCTCTGATTGCCCAAGGATGGGAAAGAAGAATATATCTATATAAAATGAATGAGAAGGGAGGAAGGGCAGGAATTTAAAGCTTTAGCCCTACTTACATTTTGGGTTAACAAAGTCGGCACTCACATATGAACAAATAGCAAAAGTATTGTGCTTGTTAAAGTCGTTAGGCCATTTTGTAGGGCATGGGACTTGTGTGCGTGTGTATGTGTGTACACGCGCACCTTTTGGCTTAATTAACCAACAAGCCAAGCATCTCCGGTTTTAATAGATTGCTAAACTACTCCTGCATTTTAATGCGGCCGTAATGGGTCCTGACTGTCTGTTAGCACATACTTAGTGTTATAAAATCTCCCCAGTTATTTCAGTCATGCTTCCTGCTCTGGATTAATCTTCCTTTTCTAAAAGAAATGTTTTCAAATCTTTCTTTCTTTCCTTCTTTCAGTGGGGGGAGGGGGAGACAGGGAGTGAGAACCTCAACAGATTTACTGGAACAAAATGCGAAGAACTCAACGGGCTCAGCTGGTCATTCACACCAAGCCTAGATGGATAATGAGCAAAAGTTAATTACCATTAGATGGCCTTTTTAACAGCCTATTCATTTGCTGCTGATGGGAAGAAGGATCAGCTGCTCCAGGCCAGCTCTCCCAAATCTACATCATCGTCATCATGATAAATGAGGACCTTCACCAAGAATCCCAGCCACAAAGACAGGCACCTCCTTCTGCTTAGTTTGTAAAATTCTCCATGGCTCCCTTATTTTAGATCCATAATGGGAGAAGGCTCCATATTTCCATTTCGTTTCCAGATGTTGCTTCTATCCTTGTGGCCTGTGCTGACTGAGACCAACAGAAGCTAGAGTCCAACAGAGGAAAGGCCACCATTTCCCACTCCTCTTCTTAACAAGACAAAGATTTAAAGCCCTCTCTCTCACGCAGGCCTGACTGCAACATCAGCTGGTGATGTGCACATCCGAATGAGCTGCAAGCTGGTAAGATCCACCTCCCAGATGCTTCGGAGGCAGCACAAAAGAGACCTGAAGCAGAAGGAAAGGAATAAGGCCAGCAAGCCGCCTGGAGACTGCAATCTCATAATCGAGAGATGCCCGTGTGTAGTTGTTCTCAAATTGTTGGAGGAGCACAACCTGTTATCAGATTTGTCCATTACCAAGAGTAGCAACAGATGGAAACTCCTGTCTCTTAGTCACTGCAGAATGAAGGCAGGAGAAAGTGATGTAAAAACTGAACACAGAGTTAATTTTTATACCCTTTGGCTATATAGCAATTGCTGGAATCCTTTCATCATAAATTCTTCTTTATTTCTAGAATGAAGACCCTTATCAGAAGTTCCTGGGCCCCCGAACACTTGTTTATTATTTCTAATCAAGCCTGTTGGGGATAATCTTGATATACCAGGAGTGCAATATATCTAGCAAATTATATTACAGGAATGACTTGTTGTGATCAAGTAATTCACAAGTCTAAGAGAACATGTTCATTCAAACTTGTAAGACTGTTGTGAGCCCTACAAGGCAGACCAATTAAGAAACCAATGCCATGTAGGTCAGACTATTTTTATTGTAACAGCTGTAGTAACAGAATCTTGCAAGTCTGAATGTGCTTCCCTCTCCCTCCCTTTATTTTTGTGTGAACTGGGGAGGGGCTTCTGAGACATTTTCTCAACTTACTTTCTTGGCCCAGGCTCAAGCCCCTCTTATCTGACCATTGCCTTGGTAGTGAGTCTTCCTTCTGTCCTTCAAGGCCATTCCCTCTTCCCTCTATAGCAGTACATGGTACACCTAGAGAACACCTAATTTTTAGGTATATGCAAAGTATTCTATTTCAGAGATGGAACATCCAGGGAAAATCCAGAACATACTATAAATGTTTATAGTAAACCACCGTGAGACCCTGGTAATCAATTATGTAAAAAGTTAAACAAGTAAATATTCTTAGCAGCAGTTTTAGTGGGTATATCTGTGACATTCCAGAAATTCATCTGGGCCTGTTTAGAACTACTAACATCCCCTCTACACTCCAACTGGTCATTACCGATGAGGCTGGCTAAGTGCCAAGATCCAGCTTTGGTTCCACGATCAATGGTGGTCATAGTTTGACTTAAAAACTCCATAGTTCTTTATACTATGTTGTCCTTGATAAAGCAAGGACACCAGATATCCCAACAGAGATCAATAATGGCATCAGGGCAGGGATGGAGGGGTGTCAAAATCAGCAAGATGGCAGATGGACCATCACAACACAAGCCCCCACTCCTTTTGAATGTGCACACTTGCACCATGACACACCATTAACTGTCTTACCATTGTTGACCCTCCACCTTCTACAGACATTGCTGAAGGTTAAGCACTGTAGAAATAGTGTTTGCATAACTTGATGCCACTCAGAAATAGCACTTTTCAATAAATTAATTCTACCCATTCAAAAGGCAATCACCAGATGCTGGGGAATCAACTATGGGGAGACAAGACAATATGCATGTGTGTACATAAACACACACACACAAGTAAATTCTGCCTTATGAAGGTTATTTATATAAAAGTGTCTGTTTGCATTTCTTCTCCCAGTGAAAACACATATTTTGTATACCCTCAAAGCAAACTGGAGGGGCTCTGATCAAGACAACACTTCATATAGTTATTTTACAGAGAAGATAGCACTTAACCTCTGGTCAACTTTGAGGTTTATAAAAAGAACCATCACTTAAATGAAAGCTGCTAAACTCAACAGAACAAAATCAGATAGACAAGGAGATGCAGCCTGTTAAAAACAAAACCAAACTGACTCATCAGATTATAAACTTCCCTGGCAGTTTTCATATTAACACTCTGGAATATTGGCAAACTCTCTGGCTTTTGACGCTATGATGCTCATGGAAGAATCTGTACAGATTTCTATCACAGAAAAACTATGGAGGCTAGAGAGACACAGTATGGGGACATCAAAAGTTGTCTTCTCCACTACTGCAGTAAAACCCAGCTCGACATCTCACCATCAGGGTAAGTAAAAGCACAGCACAGGAAGACAGGCATATAGATTCCCAAGGGTTTGCCCAAGGTAGTTTGATATTCCAACTATGTTCCCAAGAGCTCTGGAATCCCTCAGAAGTTCATCTCTCAGACGTTCATCCAGATGTACAGCGATACACAAAAATGTCCATCTGCATTAATCTCCCCTTCAACTAGGCAGCCAGAGTTCAGTATTGGCCTTGAGTTCTATAGCACATGTGCAAGTCAAGGGACAAGCTTAGGTCAGTACATTCAGAAGAATGCGGCTCCATCCTGGGATTCATCAGGAGATACATTTTTGTGGGAAGAGTTGCTTAGATATATAGCTTTCTCAACGAATGCTCCAAAAACCCAGGGAGGCAGCCTGATGGCTTCCAGATGTTTTGAACATATGCTTCACCCAACCTGTCCAGCAGCAAGGGATTGTGGGTCCTGTAGCCCAAAACATCTAGAGGGCACCAGGTTGCTTACCCCAACCCTAAGGGCATATACTGCATGCATATATACAAACACACACACACACACCATACGTATGCACTGACCTTACTAGTTCCCTCTTCTCGTGCAAACCTGATATTCCATCCCAACCTTTCCTCAGAAGACTCCAAAGCTTCCAGATTCATTACAGATTTGCAGCATGCCCTTCAGATTAAGTTCAATTCCCAAAGTAAAACAATCATAATAATTTGTATTACCATTGTAATTTTAAAGCAAACAGGACCAAGGGAGAAAGAAAGCAAGGCCATCATCTTACCTGAGCTGCGCCTGCTGTTGGAGTAGCTGCTAATCGGGGCCCTGGTGCTGATTTCACAACATCGGTCAAGGGCACGCTCGTCTCTGCCACAAGTCCTACCAAGAAGATCAATGAGGAGAAACAAGATGAGGGATGTGTCTGAACTCCTTGGCAGATGAATACGTTGCATTGATCTTCCTCAGGCGGGTCAGTCTTCAGAAGTGAAGGATAAAGAGTAAAGATTTTATTTTCAAATGCACAGATCTAGGCATGTGGGGTCTCAGAGATCACATTTGGGTCAATAATTCAATTTGTCCCATGGAGGGCAAAGCTGGCCACACAGTTGCAAGTTCAACGGTATCAGTGATTGCTGAAGAATGATGATAAGGCAACAAAGAGATGAGAAATGATGAAGAAGGAATAAATTCAAGGTCCAAGCTAGTTTTTTTGTTTTTTTTTGAAGGGGATAACACAAAGGGAAAACTTTAGCTCACTCTTATAAATATAGCCACAAATGTTATAGCTCCATGGTCTGATCCAGAGGATTAGCCCTGTTAGTGCGCCCATACACACATATTCACACATGTGAGAGTCTTGTGGTACCTCCAAGTCTAACAAAACTACTGGGCAGAAGCTTTTGTGAACTGGAACATGCTGGGATAATGGGCTTTTGTCCACCTAAGTCTACAATGTAATAATTCAGGAGCCTTTTAGAATGCCACAAAACTGTCCTTGGGCATATACTTATGCAACAATACCTTAGTCTTATGTGATATAAAGGAAAAGCAGGAATCTCCTACCAAAGTTGACTTACCACTAGCAGCTACAACAGTCACTCTTTATAAGCCTGGTGTGGCTACAAATGACCAGAACTATACTGTTCTAGGAAGCACTCTCCAAGAAAGAGGTGACAGATAAGGTCCTATAATTTTTTTAAAAAGCTCTGCCTTCCTCCTTAACACCATATAACTATTGTTATCTCAGCCTTTCCCAGCTTGGTGGCCTCATCCTTCTTCAATGGGCTGCCCTTCAGGTGGGTGAAGACTAGAAGTGATTGATCCATGGAGTTACAAGGCCAACACAAGCAGAGGATGCCATCTGGGGGAAGGATGGTATTTTTTTTCCCAGTAAGGGGATTTCCTTCCTGGCATTTCATAGATTACATGGTTAGTAAGCCAGGCATACTTCTTTGATCCCTCTTGTCTTGCAAGATGGACCATACCTCTAGGACTGGGATTTGCAAAAAGCTGGAATGTAGGGCTGGGGTGGCTATAGACCAAGGTGGGGGGTTAGGGGAGACAGGTTGGCCCAATGAAAGAAAAAACAAAACAGCCCACTGAACTGCTCCCCTACCCCCAAAATCTCTTGCTGCTTTACTGGGTGACTTTTAAATCACCTTGCCTTGAGAAGAGGAGAGAAAGAAGAAAGAACAACCATATAATGTCACACATTAGGGGAGGAGAGACTCAGGAATCACTGCTAGCCATGAAAGATCATGAGAAGATCCCAACACAGAAATGAAAGATCTTGTATGGAATATGTGACAGTTGGCCTCAATTATTCTGTTATTTTATTTGGGAGTGCTGATTATGTCTCTAGTTCTTTTGTTTTTATGTTTCTGACTAATTGTAAGCCACCCAGAGTTGCTTCTGTGAGTTGGGCTGATGTATACATGAAATAAATAGCATAAGCAAACCAACAAATAAATCAATCTGGTGAAGATCAACTATTGTAGAAGAAGATGAAAGACAGCTGGGCCTGAAGATTCTTCCTTGAGGATCAAATCTGATCAAGGTAAGGTATCCCGATCCAAGAGAGCATCACAGGAAACAGCAAACAAGAGGGCAAATGTATGCTTGAGACCCATCTAAGAGGCAGCTACCTTTAGTGTATTCTACTGGCTGTACGCCCAATGCTTAGAGGGCCTTCTGGTTGACTTACCATGGATTGCCCTGTAAGCGGAACCTAAACAGGCTGAATTAGCAGTGTCAATAGTGTACACTGGAACACTGAACACATCGGACAGGACCTGAAAAGAAAAAGAAGATCTATGACAACCTGATTAGGAAACAAAGTCACTCAGCAATTTGCTTCCATTGCCATGACAAGATTTGCAGCCAGAGGAGACCTGATGCTAGGAATCACAACTGGGAAACCAGTTAAAAAGTAGTTTAAGGCACCTCTTTGAAAAGGATATGGCCCAATGGCAAAAAGTAACAGGTATAATGGAGCGTAATAGTTCAGGTATTGGACAAGGACTCCAGAGGCCTAGGTTGAAATCCATCCTCAGTCATGGAAATTTACTAGGCACAAAATAATGTAGAGATAACCTTGATGAAAGAATGGATGAATCATTATGGGAGGAAACATGACAACTCAGGCATGGGAAAGTGAAAAACATGAGACAGAAACTCAAAATAACCCCTTCTTGTTTCTGTTTGGTATAAGATGAAGTAGAGAGAAACTCTGCCAGGCTTTCAAGATTCTGTTATATACCCTACAACAATAAAGTAGCATTCCTCTAATCTTGCAGTGTCTATTTCCTGACCTGGCCTACCTCAAAGGGCCAAAACCAGGTGACTTTGGGCCAGCTGTTCTCTCTCAGCCTACCTCAAGGGTCATTGTGGTGGGGATAAATTGAAGGGAGACCTTCATATAAACCTCCTTGAGGTCATGGAAAAAAGGTGGGATATAAATCTAATGCCTGCATAGATTACAGATTGTCCCCAGGTTTTGTAAACCCTGACTACATAAATCCAATTCTATGGAAAAGTGCACAAGGATGCTTTGCTCCTGGAGTTGGCAACAATTCAACATGAGCCAAAAATCAGCTAAAACAAGAGCTCCTGGAATAGAATCTTTGAGTCACCTAGTATTATCTGTATTCTATTATGCTGCTTGCAAATTAATTGGCAGCTGAGTTCTTAATCAAAAGCCAGATCTAAGGAAATATTGCACTTTTTAAGCCGAGCAGTCTGCTGGAGATCATACTATTCTTGTCAAAGGTGTTTCATGTTTTGGGAAGAACCCCAATGGCCAAGATCTGTGCTACTTTTCACATTATGCCTTTCCATGAAAGAACATTTCCCTTCCAATGCTGGAATATGCAAATAATATCTTGACAGACAAAGTATTTAATTAAACCCAAGAGTTTAGTTTTGAGAGATATTACCAGGACACAGTGTCAGGCCCAGCCCAAGAACAACGATGAAACAGTCCAGTCTAGCACAGTTCCTTTATTTGCTTACACCTTATAGACAGAATCTT